TGACCTCAATCTGTTACACTGACATTGCAGTTAGGGTCTGGAAAATGACCCTGCTCTTGTTCATGTGTTTACAACTGGTTTCATAAAAAATATCCTCTCTGTAATAAAGTGATACTTGTGAAAAGAAAACATTAATTTGACCTTTGAACTTAGTTCATGACCTTGACCTCCATTTGTGGATTTCAAAAATACCCCCATTAAATCTCTCAAATAGAGGGTTCATATTTAGTTGTAACATTTAAAAATAGTTATTTTCAGGTCACGAAAATGTAAACAGTTGGACTTTGACAATGTTCTGTGGTAGTGGACATACACTATATAAAGATACCATATAACTGTTGTCAACAAAGGATAGTGCAGCACTGAAAATAACAACTTAGCACTTAAAGTATACACATAAAACAAAAACTGGTACAAACTCCAACAAACAGTGTACCTTGTTCCTTACATAGACAATTCAAAACAATAACACCAACCATCCATGATATGGAAAATATAACTCAAAACAGGGAATAAAAACTAATCCATGATTGTAAAAATTAATATTGTGACATATATAAGTAAATCGTACATAAGAAAATTTGTTGACTGGGACAGCAGCTGGGTTGACAGAAAAGACCAGTTTCTGAAAACGATCATTTACATAAATGTTTCATTTAAAGGCACACTTTTTTGCTGTAGGAAAAACTGGTGTCCTCCTGAAAATTGGGAGAAACATGGTAAACAATTTGCAGGAAATTAAAGCCCTTATCTGTGAATATTCTCTTTGTCATAATTTCCAAGTATTTAGTAATTGTTTGACTCTAAATCAAAGACTTATCAGGAGAATTAACTTGTACACAGTCTGTTACGATTCAGACACTTTGATTTCGGCAAAAGCATGTCTTGCTATGTCTTTGAAAAATCCACAAAGTTTAAATATATTATCCTGGTACTGTTCCTTAAACTCAAGGTAAAAATCCCCAAAGTTTAATTATATTATCCTGGTACTGTTCCTTAAACTCCAGGTAAAAATCCACAAAGTTTAATTATATTATCCTGGTACTGTTCCTTAAACTCAAGGTAAAAATCCACAAAGTTTAATTATACTATCCTGGTACTGTTCCTTAAACTCAAGGTAAAAATCCCCAAAGTTTAATTATATTAACCTGGTACTGTTCCTTAAACTCCAGGTAAAAATCCCCAAAGTTTAAATATATTATCCTGGTACTGTTCCTTAAACTCCAGGTAAAAATCCACAAAGTTTAATTATATTATCCTGGTACTGTTCCTTAAACTTAAGGTAAAAATCCCCAAAGTTTAATTATATTATCCTGGTACTGTTCCTTAAACTCAAGGTAAAAATCTACAAAGTTTAATTATATTAACCTGGTACTGTTCCTTAAACTCAAGGTAAAATTTTCAAAAAGCACTAATGGAAATTAAAACAAAATTTCCTGTTTTCCTCAAAATCTGATCTTTATATTTAAATATATTCCTCAAATGAGCATAAGATGATATGATGTACTTGTTGTTTTACACAGGTGTCAGAATACCCAGGTGTCAGATTAGACAGTTCTTTACTACCATACTTAAACCTGTACATATTATTCTTTCTCAAAGATTATGGAATGGACGGATAGAGAAAAAAATATCACAGCATAAAAATATCAACCTCACCTTTACAATGGTATAAAGGAAGATTTGAATTCAATTTAATAACATCTTTAGTATGATAAAAAAGTTTCTATAATTTTTTCTCTCAAAAACTTACATCATACAAATTATTCATAAATTTACGATGAATGTACACAAATATTTAAAGATTTAATTTTTTGAGAATTATAACCCAAATCAGACAGTAGGAGAGTAAATCAGATACCAAATGTAAGGTTCTACACGATTCAAAGGAAATATTCGGATGAAGACTTCAAAAAATATCATCCAGATTTGGAATGTTAGGAACAGGACAGTATTATGTTAACAATAAGGGAATGCTAGATGGCCTTAGCAGTCACCTGAGTTACAGGTACTGGTAGCTCAATTTCATTGTTGAGATGTTCAAAATGTGGAAAACAACATGTAAACAAAGTGAAATACAATACTTGTCATGTCACAAAAGGATAAGAACTTTAAAACTATTTCAAATAAATTATTTTGCTATTGAGAATTATACTATCTCCCGAAGGAAGAACAGATGATGAAATTTACAATTTAGGTAATGGTAATTGAGGTAAGGATTTTTCTATCAATGAAAAAGATTTTTTTTAACTTTTAACCATAATCCCCATATGGGGATTTTAATAAAATCGAAATATACTACACATCCGAGTCTGAAGAACAAGATGTTTGATATATTGGTTAATTTTCCCTTTGGTGCCCTGGCCCCTGGGGGTTGGGGTAGGAATCCGTATTTTACAATTTTATACCATCTTCTTACAAGGATGATTTTCACAAAGTAAGATTAATTTCCTACTGAAAATGAACAAAATATACCCAAAAGTTTTATTTCCCTATATAAACTATAGTAAACTTTACCCCCTCCCCAAGGGAGAACAGATGGCTCGGGGGTACTGAAATTCACAATTAAAATAAAGCCCCTGATGATCTTTCCATCCATGCAGAGAAATTGACTGACTGTTACTAAGTACCTCGGAGTTTGGAGAAGATTTTTAAAAAATTGTTTAATTTTCCCTTTCAGGCCCCGCCCTGGCCCCTGGGGTTGGGGTAGGTATTCCAATTTTACAATAGTATAGCCTTATCTACCAAGGACGATTCTGACTAAGTTTGAAAAAATTCCATCCACTGGTTCTTGAGAAGAAGTCGAAAATGTAAAAAGTTTATGCACGATGGACGACGACGGACGACAGAAGGCGATCAGAATAGATCACTTGAGAAAAGCTCAGGTGACCTAAAAAAAAACATTTTGATAAATAGACAGAATAAGCATTTGTTTACACATATTTGTTAAAAAAAAAATAGATTTTCAAAAAAGCTAATAAATGTCATTTTTTTTATAAATTAACTACAATATCTTATTACATATAAATGATTTTTGAATTTTATCACAGAACATACAATAAATTGACTTCACCATGTATACACACATATGTATATATATATATACAAAACAAAAATAGGATTTTTACTTTCATCACAGACTTCTTAATTATGAATATAATATAACATTATGAAAAACGTCAACAAACAATGGTTTCTAATACTGTTACTGTAGTTATTCTAAAAAGCCACTAAAACTGATATTAAACAAATCATTCATAAAAAACGAAACTACAAGATTCTATATTCAAGCAATTGAGCAAAACATACATTTCATGGTTTGATTTTTTTTAAATATGTACAAAATGTAATATTTTTATTATGGAGCATCAAAGTTACTGGACTCTGAGAGAATTGAATATCATGGACAACTACACCGAATAGAACAAGAGGCCAAGAGGGCCTGTATAGCTCACCTGAATATAAGCAGTCATAGCAAAATATTCTCATTAAATATTATACTGTATTATGAATATTTCACTCAAAAACTTTGTCGGCTCATCTGTTGAAACTACCAGCCAAATATTATTATATCATTCTATGCTTTTTGGTTCTTCTTCATAAGTTGTTTGAAGTGTTTGACATATTTTTCCCTGCGACCTTGTAAGTAGGTCAAGGCTATTTTCCTTCCCGAACTTTGTTGGCTCTTTTCCAAGAAGCTACCAGCCAAATCTTATGAATCCATTCCTTTTGGTTCTTCAGAACAAATCGTTTGAAATGTTAATGACCTCTGTGAACTTCATAGTAGGTTGAGGTCATTTTCATTTGCAAACTTTGTTGGCTCTATTCCAAGAAGCCACCAGCCAAATATTATGATTCTATGCGTTTCAATTATTCAGAAGAAGTCATTTGATGATTTTGACATATATGACCTCTGTAACCCTGAAAGTAGGACAAGGTTATTTTCATTCGCAAACTTTGTCATGCTCAATCTAAGTAACCAACCAAATATTAGGATTCTAGACCTTTCAGTTCTTCAGAAGAAGTAATTTGAAGAGTTTGACAGATTTGACCCCTGTGACCTTGAAAGTGGGTCAATGTCATTTTCATTCAAGCTCTATCCAAGGAAGCCACCATTTAATGTCAGAAGAAGTCGTTTGAGGCGTTTGACATATTTGACTGCTGTGACCTTGAATGTAGGTGAAGGTCATTTTCATTCTCAAACTTTGTCTGGCTTTATCATAGAAAGCCACCAGCCAAATATGAAAATTCTATACCTTTCAGTTCTTCAGAAGAAGTCGTTTGAAGTATTTGACACATTTGACTGCTGTGACCTTGAAAGTAAGTCAAGGTCATTTTCGTTCTCAAATTCTTTTGGGCTCTATATCCCAGAAAGCCACCAGCCAAATATGAAGATTCTATACCTTTCCGTTCTTAAGCAGAAGTCGTTAGAAGTGTTTGACACATTTGACCCCTGAGACGTTGAAAGTAGGTCAAGATAATTTTCATTCTCAAACTTTGTCAAGCTCTATCCAAGAAAGCCACCAGTTAAATATGAAAATTCTATACCTTCCAGTTCTTCAGAAGAAGTCACTTGAACTGTTCGACACATTCGACCCCTGAGACATTGAAAGAAAGTCAAGGTCATTTTCATTCCAAAACTTTGTCAAGCTCTATCCAAGGAAAACACCAGTTAAATATGAAAATTCTATACGTTTTGGTTCTTCAGAAGAAGCCGTTTGAAGCGTTTGACATATTTGACTGGTTGGACCTTGAAAGTAAGTGAAGGCCATATTCATTCTCAAACTTTGTCGGGCTCTATCCTAGGAAGCCACTAGCTAAATATTAAAATTCTATAACTTTTAGTTCCTCAGAAGAAGTCGTTAGAAGTGTTTGACACATTTAACTGCTGTGACCTTGAAAGTAAGTCAAGGTAATTTTCGTTCTCAAATACTTTTGGGCTCTATCCCAGGAAGCCACCAGCCAAATATCTTCAGATGTTGTTTGAAGTGTTTGACACATTTTACCCCTGTGACCTTGAAAGAAGGTCAAGGTCATTTTCTTTCTCCAACTTTGTCGGGCTCCTACCAATGAAGCTTTCGATTGTGGGACAATTTTTCCCCCTAATACACTCGCTAGATTGTGGGACAATTTGTCCCCTTAAACACTCGTTGGATAGTGGGACAATCAGATTAGTAGTGAACTTATGATCAGCCATACACTGACAATGGCTATTTTAATTTTACCACATAGTTGAGATCTTACTTAGGACTTTATGACAAAATACATATTTCTGAGTTTATATCATTTTAGAGATTATTACACTTGTTAAAATCCTTATGCTCCAATATATCAATATATATAGACAGTGCTGAACTTTATGAACAGGTAAAAATGGTGTTTTCACTTAATTTTACAATGTCTTTTTCAACTGATTAAAAATGAAAATAAAATGGAAAACACATTTTTGTGAACACAAGGTATTGGTAAATTGCACTATTGAAATGATCATGTTTCCTGAAGATGTGTCTGGTCAAAACCCAAAACATTTTCTAATTACAAATTTCATCCTGTCAAGTCTGAAACAAAAATTAACAATTGCATGTGTAGCTAAATATGAAGACACTAAAAAAGCACAGAAAAATAAGCAATCGTTTTAGAATAACTGCGGTAACAGACTTTGTAGCTATATATGATGCACATTATTACAGAATAACACAAAACTTAGATTCTCGTTGAGGTTTCGCCTGGTACCGTTCTCTGTTGTTATTTCCAGGGTCGTCTGTTTTCCCAAAGCTTTCAATACCAGAATCATCTAAGCCAGAATTTGTTTTCTGCACACGATGTAATAATATTCTGTAGGTCCCTGTGATAGAACTTCGGGAATCTCTATGCCCCGAACCTTTCAAATGTTCGTCAACGATTCCAAGATCATGCAACATGACACGAGCCTCCTTTTCATCTGGAGAAAGTGTAGATGTATCAGCTCCTGGCATCAGATTATATGGTTGTAGCGCTTCTGGAAAGTCTTGACCATCTAACCAATCACTATTACGGACTTCTCGTATAGAAAATCGGTCATGCGGAACTGGCTTCATGATACTTCTAATGAGAAATTGCCCACTGTCCGATATGTATGATGGGATGATATAATTTCCCTCTAAGATACACTTTTTTAATTTGGCTACTGTGTCGGCCCTAAATGGCATGACTCCTGTTACCATAAAGTACAGCATGATTCCTAAAGCCCAGATATCTACATAGACACCACAGTAACTCTCATCCTTGAAGAGTTCAGGAGCTGCGTAAGGTGGTGACCCACAAAACGTATTAAGTGTCTGATCTACTTTGCTTATCGTACTGAATCCAAAATCACCAATTTTCACACTCTTTGGTCCATTGTAGAATATATTCTCAGCCTTCAGATCTCTGTGAATGATATTATGCTTGTGCTGCAAATATAGAAAAAGCGCACACATATTAATAGTTTTGTCAAAATATATCCAGATATTTAGAATATAAATTTGTTTTTGTAAAATCATTACAATGATATGAACTTAGACACTTTACTTTGGCCTTCACCTTTTGGACAATTATGAAGTTTCATAAAATATTAAGCTGTTCGGAAATAAAAGAATAGCCAAGAATATACCATAAGGAATGTCAGACTGCAACCCTATCAGCCACCCGAGGTAATGGATCCAAAGGACTGGTTTAACACCATAAGATTGTCATAAATTTCGAAAAAGAGGTGCAGGGGGCCTGTCCGACTCACCTGTGTTTACAAAAGGTACATTTCATGTGGTAATGAACATGTATGATTGTATTTGTATATCAGCCAATCGAGAGGCATGGCAATTATAACAGATTTCATTTATTCTATTGCTAATTTCACCTAAATAAGCTTAAGCTTTAGGTCAAATATCCTAACTGTGGCTGTTCATAAGAAGTTATTAGCAGGCTTTAAAACATTTGGCTCCCTTATGACCTTGAACGCAGATCAAGGTAATTTATTTGACCAAATTTGATAAACCTTCAACCAACAAGCTGCATTCCGAACACACTATTGACCTGACACACTATGGTTCTTTAGAAGAATTTGTTTAAATAAAAAAATAGATGAAAATATATTTTTCTAACTATTTTTTTCATTATTTCTTAATTGATATCTTTTTCTAAATTCTTTTTTTCATTACTTCTTATTAACTATTTTGTATGCTTTTTGTTATTATTATTTCATTTGAAAAGGTTTTGAGAAACGCATCAATCTTTTAAGAGGAAATAAATCCAAAGATGCATGTGAAGACATGACAAAAAGATAAAACAACACCGCTCCATCTGATAATCACCTGACAAAGAATCAATCAGGCTAACTACAGCCAAACAATTAATTAGAATTGTAATGGATACATGTACAACCAGATGTATAATCAGTGTGTTGCTGAGAACTGTTTCTGGGAACTCTGAGATATCAAGATTTTATTGAACATTTCTGGGCAAAACCCATTCCTGATATTGATAAACATCAAATGTATTGTCTGCTCTCTGATTTCAACTACGCAAATGCAAAATCAGTTATATGTCTTTATATTGTTCATTCTACAAAATTTAATGCGTGATTAGAAGATTTAAAAAAAAAAAATATCTTTGAAACATTAACTAAACAAAGCGGAAAAGGAATGAATTCTTTGAAATTCTTTTCTTTATCAATCTTATCTGATGTTTTAAGAGTGTCTGAAACTCTAATTTTGATACAAATCAAACATAAAAAGAATGTCATGAGCGTGTCGTGTCAACCACATTCTGTACCTGTCTGTAAACAATCTGTCACAACCTATTACCAATGTAAAACATACATTCTGTACCTATCTATAGACAATCTGTCACAACCTATTACCACTGTAAAACATACATTATGTACCTGTCTATAGACAATCTGTCACAACCTATTACCACTGTAAAACATACATTATGTACCTGTCTATAGACAATCTGTCACAACCTATTACCACTGTAAAACATACATTATGTACCTGTCTATAGACAATCTGTCACAACCTATTACCACTGTAAAACATACATTATGTACCTGTCTATAGACAATCTGTCACAACCTATTACCACTGTAAAACATACATTATGTACCTGTCTATAGACAATCTGTCACAACCTATTACCACTGTAAAACATACATTATGTACCTGTCTATAGACAATCTGTCACAACCTATTACCACTGTAAAACATACATTATGTACCTGTCTATAGACAATCTGTCACAACCTATTACCACTGTAAAACATACATTATGTACCTGTCTATAGACAATCTGTCACAACCTATTACCA